ACAGACCAGGACCTCCAATCACTACACTGTAACAGACCATGACCTCCAATCACTACACTATAACAGAACAGACCGGGACCTCCAATCACTACACTGTAACAGACCAGACCGGAACCTCCAGTCACTGTGCTATAACAGACCAGGACCTCCAATCACTACACTGGAACAGACCAGGACCTCCAATCACTACACTGTACCAGACCAGGACCTCCAATCACTACACTATAACAGAACAGACCGGGACCTCCAATCACTACACTGTAACAGAACAGGACCTCCAATCACTACACTGTAACAGACCTGACCAGGACCTCCAATCACTACACTGTAACAGAACAGGACCTCCAATCACTACACTGTAACAGACCTGACCAGGACCTCCAATCACTACACTGTAACAGATCAGGCCCTCCAAACACTACACTGTAACAGACCAGACCATGACCTCCAATCACTATGCTATAACAGACCAGAACCTCCAATCACTATACTGAAACTGACCAGACCAGGACCTCCAATCACTACACTGTAACAGAACAGGACCTCCAATCACTACACTGTAACAGACAAGGACCTCCAATCAATACACTGTAACAGACCAGACCATGACCTCCAATCACTATGCTATAACAGACCAGGACCTCCAATCACTACACTGGAACAGACCAGGACCTCCAATCACTACACTGTAACGGACCAGGACCTCCAATCACTACACTGTAACAGATAAGGACCTCCAATCACTACACTGTAACAGACAAGGACCTTCAATCACTACACTGTAACAGACCAGGACCTCCAGTCACTATGCTATAACAGACCAGGACCTCCTATCACTACACTGTAACAGACCAGGACCTCCACTCACTACACTGTAACAGACCAGGACCTCCAATCAATACACTGTAACAGAACAGACAGGGACCTCCAATCACTACACTGTAACTGACCAGGACCTCCAGTCACTATGCTATAACAGACCAGACCAGGACCTCCAATCACTTCACTGTAACAGAACAGATCAGGACCTCCAATCACTACACTGTAACAGACAAGGACCTTCAATCACTACACTGTAACAGACCAGACCAGGACCTCCAATCACTATGCTATAACAGACCAGGTCCTCCTATCACTACACTGTAACAGACCAGGACCTCCAATCACTCACTGTAACAGACCAGGACCTCCAATCACTACGCTGTAACGGACCAGGACCTCCAATCACTACACTGTAACAGACAAGGACCTTCAATCACTACACTGTAACAGACCAGGACCTCCCAATCACTACACTGTAACAGACCAGACCAGGATCTCCAATCACTACACTGTAACAGACCAGGACCTCAAATCACTATGCTGTAACAGACCAGGACCTCCAATCACTACACTGTAACGGACCAGGACCTCCAATCAATACACTGTAACAGCCCAGGACCTCCAATCACTACACTGTAACGGACCAGGACCTCCAATCACTACACTGTAACAGAACAGACCAGGACCTCCAATCACTACACTGTACCAGACCAGGACCTCCAATCACTACACTATAACAGAACAGATCAGGACCTCCAATCACTACACTGTAACAGACCAGGACCTCCAGTCACTATGCTATAACAGACCAGACCAGGACCTCCAATCACTATGCTATAACAGACCAGGACCTCCTATCACTACACTGTAACAGACCAGGACCTCCAATCACTATGCTATAACAGACCAGAACCTCCAATCACTATACTGAAACTGACCAGACCAGGACCTCCAATCACTACACTGTAACAGACCAGGACCTCCAATCACTTGCTGTAACAGCCCAGACCAGGATCTCCAGTCACTACACTGTAACAGACCAGGTCAGGACCTCCAATCACTCGCTGTTACAGACCAGACCTGGACCTTTAATCACTACACTGTAACAGGACCTCAAATATCTACGCTGTAACAGACCAGGACCTCCATTCACTATGCTGCAACAGACCAGACCAGAACCTCAAAACACTACACTGTAACAGACCAGACAAGGACCTCCAATCTCTTAAGCTGTAACGGACCAAACCAGGACCTCCAATCTCTAAGCTGTAACAGACCTGACCAGGACCTCCAATTTCTAAGCTGTAACAGACCAGGAGCCTGGACCTCAAATCACTACGCTGTAACAAACCTGACTGGGACCCTAGATCTCTAATCCCTATGCAGTCAGACTGAGCCACCTTGTCAATGACGGTTCTTTGGTAACTACAGTTACATTTAATATGATATTGAGGGAGGTTTTTACATGTATAAAACCTTACCGTGGAATTCCCTAGTGTCAAAAAAAGTGTCTTTGGGAGTGGAAAAAAAGAGACAATTTGGCCATATTGCTGTCGTGACTTCTCTGTAACTAGAGATGAATACTGTATTTGATCAAGAGAATTCACAGATGATGGGGTTTCAAAATAGTACAAATGGAAGGGCCGACCATCCACAAGGGGCGGAGGCAAAAACAAAAATGGGGGGGGGAATGGGACATATTGCTATAAGGGACTTCTCCCCATTCAATTTTGAGTGGTACTATGAGGGGGATATCAGCCATATTTGTTTGGAAACATACTCAAGTGGTTAAACTGTACCAAATGAAGGGTGGACTCTGAGGGCCAAAAAGATAACTTAGATGTGATTGAGATACCCACCATGTAACCTTATATACTATTACCGAGTATAGTAAATCAAAAAAGCATATGCTACCAGGATCTGGCCCCACCCCAAGAGCCTTAGACCCTGGGCCATAACTTTGTAGAATTTGAAATCCCCCTCCTATAACCATGTGCACAACTGCTGGGCTAATAGAGACAAGCACAATCATGATATTAGAATTGACCCTGGGGTCTTGTCATAGTCCCCTGGACAGTTATTTAGTTCCCAGGTCAAAACTTGGAAAACTTGGAGATCCCCACACCATACCTATAAATGCTATTGCTTGGCATGAAAAATCTAATAAAAATTTGATACCAGATTTGATCTCTGATTCTGCCTTAGCCCTGGTAAGTTGGTCTCTGCATCATAACATGGAAATGGTTGAGATACTTACCTTATTAAGAGAAATACAATTGCTTGGCATGAAGACTTAGGATTCATATGCTACCAGGACTGGACCCGGAAACTGGACGTATCCCTGGGATCTTATCCACAGTAATACTCTTAACGAGAATATTTTGTCATAATTACAAAAATATCCAGATTAGTGAGACAGGTCCTCTGGGCCTCTTGTTTATGTGTTCAGTCAAGTATCAACTTCTCACTACTTGACAGAATAAACAAACGTGATGTTTGACAATATAATTATTGTTTATTTCTCATACAAAAGTCATATAATTTGCATAATTGAGTATGAATGTTTATGGTTTTGATGGAAAACCTGCTTTTATTATTAAGCAGTACTGGACAACACAATTAACTAGGTTCTCCACAGGAAACACAAATGTATAGGATGGCAGACGGTAACAAAATGCTTCTCTTTTCAAGGTAAAAGTGTCCTGGTTTTGTACCTGGAATGAATTGGTGGGGTATAAATTTCACCTCTAGAAATAAGTGTTTAGCTGTAGTATCGTCTCCAATTATAACATGCGGGTGAATACGTACATCTTCTACAGATTGCCTTATACAATATTTAATACAATACAAGCACTAAGGGTACAGAGAAACCCAGCAAAACATGTTTGGCCAATGAAATCAAGATCTTCATTAAATAAAAAAAAGTATTGGACAAATTATCCTACATTTTGAAAAATATGTTAAAATACAAAAAAAATATCTAAACACTGTAAGCATAGAGGAATCTTGTGATAAATGTCACTAGCCAACTGTTTCTGGGACTCGAGTCACCAGCCAGCTGTTTCTGGGACTCAAGTCACAAGCCAGCTGTTTCTGGGACTCGAGTCACCAGCCAGCTGTTTCCGAGACTCTAGTCACCAGCCAGCTGTTTATGGGACTCGAGTCACCAGCCAGCTGTTTCTGGGACTCAAGTCACCAGCCAGCTGTTTATGGGACTCGAGTCACCAGCCAGCTGTTTCTGGGATGACATATTTTGTACGTTCCCAGTACTGCAGTCATTCTAGCTCTGACCAGACCCGTCTGACAACAAAATTATGGCCACATTAACAAGGTTCAACCCCATTCAAAAAAGATTTCCAGTAACTGCCTGTAAATTTTTCACAACGGTTCCTGTACATCACTGACAGAAAACCGACACTTTGTAGTTATGTTTGGCAAGTTGGCATTAACAAACCTGCTGGCCCACAGACAGGGCTTCTCCATAGTCATACACTAGAACAGGGCTTCTCCATAGTCATACACTAGAACAGCTACAGTTCTCAAAAGTTTGACCAAGTTTTAAGTCTGCAACCTTGCATGTTTGAAATAAATGAATTGTTTTCACAGCTTAGTAAATTTAAAATATAATCTCATAATTCTTACTGTTATATTTTATTTAATTGCTGGCGGAAAGAATATATTGTCAATCCAAACAGGACTTTGCAGGAGAAGAAATGAGAAAAATTCTTTTTCAAAATCGAAAAAAATAGGAAATTACTCTTAAAGATTACCAAAATGGTGACAGCACTGGTGGAAATGGTTTAATTAGCATATAAACTGTCACACAAATGTCATCTACAACACAAAACAGACCATTGTGTTGGTTTATCACTGTAATGAAACTAGCGTGAGACAGGTTTCCGTTAGAGAATCACAGATGTTTTATGATCCTCCATTATAGAGTCTATCTTACCGTAATTATTATTTAACTGTCAGAATCAAATTTTACAACCAGCATATAGACACAGAACAAGAAAAACACACATTTTTTTTTTAAAAAGCAAACATGTATCTTATACTCCTTGGAAAGGGAAGTTGGTAAAATGTTTCTGATTTAGTGCCTTCGTTTCTGCGAGTGTCACATTCTTACATTCCTGTTAAGTCACAGTAAAACTAGTGTTTTTAGCTGTTGAGATACAAGATAGAGTTCTATTTCCTGAATGATAAAGTACCTGTGTATACCTACACACATGTATCCTATCAAATAGAGGTGTACACTACCATACCACATATGTACACACACGTGTATAAACATGTAAACATACATACACACAGGTCTGAGTATAGATGTATGGATGTAAACATGTGTACTCCTTGTAAGCACATGTGCCAGTACACAAGTGTACACATGTGCAATACCTTACAGTCACTGTGCCTGTGTGAACACAGGTCACACACATACACAACATGGAACGAGTATGCAGTTATTGAAGTATCAGGTTTGTATTTACAAGTTTGTGAAGAAATGCTATATAATATATAATACGGTTACATAAAGATACTATGTAATCATTATATGTGAACTAAACGGAGAACCAGTTCTGACCAAGGGGGCAGGCGAGCCATTCTCTCAAAGTCCAATGCTAATCAGTCCCAAAGGAATGGAAATGGTTTTAATATACGAAAATTAGTTCAAGAACAACTTGGAATTTTAATACAGGTAAGATTAAATTTCACTGAGATTTTTTTTAAGTTACAAAATTACATAAAATATCTCTGTTTAGTGAAACAAGTATCATGCAAAAATATGGGAAAACATATATATTTAAGAACAGGACTTACAAAGGCTTTGCCTGTTGCCCAATTCCTTTTGTATTTGTGATCTTTACAATAAAACGTTAAAAAAATAATATATATATATAAACTTCAACTACTAAATTTATGACCACACAAATTGTATAGTCGAGTGATAATCTACTTGAAAGAAGTATTCAAATTTGTAAATCAAATTTGTAAACATTAACATGCATTCACTTGATTGATAAATCAATTCCGATATTTTCAGGTCACAAGAAGTCCAGAGGGGAAAAACTCGAGTAAATCAGCTTCTATTTGTATCACATTGTGCAAGTTATCTCCCCTGTAAAACCACCCCAAAAAGCAGAGCTTCCCATACAGTAGAAACTCTGATCTCTGCATTCATTGTCTCTCTTGAAACAATTTCATAATCATGTTTAAAAATTTCCCAGAAACAAGTTGAAGCAAAATTGACACTATGGGAAAACAAGTTCCATGCGAGATTTTCGTTGAGATGGAAACTGAACAAGCCACATTCCACCGTCCATTGATACTTTATTCTAGTTTTGTCCTTTAAGGTGATTGGTTGTTTGTATTGGAGCTAAGAATTTGATTGGCTGTTTCCAGCTGTTCTCTCACACCTTCCTATAGACAATGTTGGGTTACTGGGATGATGCTAGGTTTCTTCACAGTGATCCTAGATCTTGTGTGGAACGGGCTCCTGTAAAGACAAGAGGTAACATACTGTAATAGTTGTCATAGCAACACTCACTCTGTCATCCCTGTACTGCTACACAGAGGATATTTCTTATTATTTATTTTAGTCGATTTTCATCCTTATTTCACTGCCAGTGAGAGGTAGCATTCCCTTCGACAACAGACAGTGTTATAAACTGATCAAAGACTTACTTCTGAGGGTGTCACTCTCAGACAGTGTTATAAACTGATCAAAGACTTGCTCCTGAGGGTGTTACTCTCAGACAGTGTTATAACCTGATCAAAGACTTGTTCCTGCGAGTGCCACTCTCAGACAGTGTTATAAACTGATCAAAGACTTATTCCTGAGGGTGCCACTCTCAGACAGTGTTATAAACTGATCAAAGACTTATTCCTGAGGGTGCCACTCTCAGACAGTGTTATAAACTGATCAAAGACTTATTCCTGAGGGTGCCACTCTCAGACAGTGTTATAACCTGATCAAAGACTTGTTCCTGCGGGTGCCACTCTCAGACAGTGTTATAAACTGATCAAAGACTTATTCCTGAGGGTGGCACTCTCAGACAGTGTTAAAAACTGAACAAGGACTTATTCCTGAGGGTGCCACTCTCAGACAGTGTTATAAACTGATCAAAGACTTATTCCTGAGGGTGCCACTCTCAGACAGTGTTATATACTGATCAAAGACTTGCTCCTGAGGGTGCCACTCTCAGACAGTGTTATAACCTGATCAAAGACTTGTTCCTGCGGGTGCCACTCTCAGACAGTGTTATATACTGATCAAAGACTTGTTCCTGAGGGTGCCACTCTCAGACAGTGTTATTAACCGAACAAGGACTTACTCCTGAGGGTGCCACTTTCGGACCGTGTTTTTCTGTAATGTCCTATTTCAGATGAGGGTTTGTGTGGGTTTTTGCCTGTAAGGTCCCCTGTGACACGGAGGACCTTGCTGCCTCCGATGCTTCCTGTCCCGTATGTATCTCCACGCTTCATATACACAGGGGCACTGTATGTACTGCTAGCCCCGGGGTGCTTCAAGTGAACAGCATCTGTAAACATCAATTTGTATGGTCATCAAGGTCATCAATTTGTACAGGTCATCACATTTTCTTATCATATTGTAGTCTGTCCCAAGGTTAGACAGATTTAACAGAGGTTCAGTACTTTGCTTTAATAATAGGATGTTTATAATAAATCAACTTTTTGTAAAATTTACATAATAAAGTTTATCATTAACTTCCGTGAGAATCTACTTCCGCTTGTTGGCTTGGTGTCTATAGACTACACAGCTCCTGAAGCAATGTCACCGACATAACTGTCAGTAAGTATAATGGAATATATAACTTCTTTAAAGAATTGACTATATACTACAGTTACTTTACAATCAATATGGTTTAATTTCCATGGATACCTACTTGGGGGGTCACCATTCAGTTTCCATCAATTGTCCCCACATAAGTTAAATATTGATACCTGCTTTGGTCCTTTAGTTTCCATGGATACATTGTAATATAAATTGTCCTGTTGTGATGAGTAACCATGAATACTAACTTGAGTGACCCGGGTTACGAGTAACTATGGATACTGACTTAGGTCACCCCCTTACGATTAACTAAGGATACTTACTTAGGTCACACCCCTTACGAGTAACTATGGCTACTGACTTCGGTCACCCCCCTTACGATTAACTAAGGATACTAACTTAGGTCACCCCCCTTACCAGTAACTAAGGAAACTGACTTTGGTCACCCCCCTTACGAGTTACTATGGATACTGACTAAGGTCACACCCCTTACGAGTAGCTATGGATACTGACTTAGGTCCCACCCCTTACGAGTAACTAAGGAAACTTACTTAAGTCACCCCCCTTACGAGTAACTAAGGATACTTACTTAGGTCACCCCCTTACGAGTAACTAAGGATACTTACTTAGGTCACCCCCCTTACGAGTAACTATGGATATTGATTTAGGTCACCCCCCTTACGAGAAACTAAGGATACTTACTTAGGTCACCCCCCTTATGAGTACCTAAGGATACTGACTTAGGTCACACCCCTTACGATTAACTATGGATACTGACACTTAGGTCACCCCTTACGAGTACCTAAGGATGCTGACTTCGGTCACCCCCCTTACGAGAAAGTAAGGATACTTACTTAGGTCACGCCCCTTACGAGTACCTAAGGATGCTGACTTCTGTCACCCCCCTTATGATTAACTAAGGATACTCACTTAGGTCACGCCCCTTACGAGTACCTAAGGATACTTACTTAGGTCCCCCCCCTTCCCAGTAACTAAGGATACTGACTTAGGTCGCCTCCCTTACAAGTACCTAAGGATACTGACTTAAGTCACCCCCCTTATGAGTTACTATGGATACTGACTTAGGTCCCACCCCTTACGAGTAACTAAGGATTCTTACTTAGGTCACCCCCCTTACGAGTAACTATGGATACTGACTTAATTCACCCCCCTTATGAGTTACTATGGATACTGACAATTAGGTCACCCCTTACGAGTACCTAAGGATGCTGACTTCGGTCACCCCCCTTATGATTAACTAAGGATACTTACTTAGGTCACACCCCTTACGAGTACCTAAGGATACTGACTTAGGTCACCTCCCTTACAAGTACCTAAGGATACTGACTTAGGTCACCTCCCTTACAAGTTCCTTAAGGATACTGACTTAGGTCACACCCCTTACGAGTACCTATGGATACTGACTTAGTCCACCCCCTTACGAGTACCTAAGGATACTTACTTAGGTCACCCCCTTACGAGTAAATATGGATACTGACTTAGGTCACCTTCTTATGGGTAACTATGGATACTGACTTAATTCACCCCCCTTATGAGTAACGATAGGTACTAAGTTAGGTCACCTCCCTTATGAGTAACGATGGATACTGACTTAGGTCACACCCTTATGAGTAACTAAGGATACTTACTTAGGTCACACCCCTTACGAGTAACTATGGATACTGACTTAGGTCACACCCTTATGAGTAACTAAGGATACTTACTTAGGTCACACCCCTTACGAGTACCTATGGATACTGACTTAGGTCACCCCCTTATGATTAACTAAGGATACTTACTTAGGTCACACCCCTTACGAGTAACTATGGATACTGACTTAGGTCACCCCCTTATGAATAACTAAGGATACTGACTTAGGTCACACCCCTTACGAGAACCTATGGATACTGACTTAGGTCACCCCCTTACGAGTACCTAAGGATACTGACTTAGGTCACCCCCCTTATGATTAACTAAGGATACTTACTTAGGTCACACCCCTTACGAGTCCCTATGGATACTGACTTAGGTCACCCCCTTACGAGGACCTAAGGATACTGACTTAGGTCACCCCCCTTATGATTAACTAAGGATACTTACTTAGGTCACCCCCCTTACGAGTAACGATGGATACTGACTTAGGTCTCACCCCTTATGAGTTACTATGGATACTGACTTAATTCACCCCCCGTATGAGTTACTATGGATACTGACTTAATTCACACCCCTTATGAGTTACTATGGATACTGACTTAGGTCACACCCCTTATGAGTTACTATGGATACTGACTTAGGTCACCTTCTTATGAGTAACGATGGATACTGACTTAATTCACCCCCCTTATGAGTTACTATGGATACTGACTTAGGTCACCTTCTTATGAGTAACGATGGATACTGACTTAGGTCACACCCCTTATGAGTTACTATGGATACTGACTTAGGTCACACCCCTTATGAGTTACTATGGATACTGACTTAGGTCACCTTCTTATGAGTAACGATGGATACTGACTTAGGTCACCTTCTTATGAGTAACGATGGATACTGACTTAATTCACCCCCCTTATGAGTTACTATGGATACTGACTTAGGTCACACCCCTTATGAGTTACTATGGATACTGACTTAGGTCACACCCTTATGAGTAACTAAGGATACTTACTTAGGTCACACCCCTTACGAGTAACTAAGGATACTAACTTAGGTCAACTCCCTTACGAGTAACTATGGATACTTACTTAGGTCACCCGCCTTATGAGTAACTATGGATCTATGGATACTGACTTAGGTCACCTCCCTTACGAGTAACTATGGATACTTACTTGGGTCACCACCCTTATGAGTAACTATGGATACTTACTTAGGTCACCCCCCTTACGAGTAACTAAGGATACTTACTTAGGCCACCTCCCTTACGAGTAACTATGGATACTTACTTAGGTCACCCCCCCTTACGAGTAACTAAGGATACTTACTTAGGTCACCCCCCTTACGAGTAACTAAGGATACTTACTTAGGCCACCTCCCTTACGAGTAACCATGGATACTTACATGTACTAAGGTCACCCCCTTACGAGTAAATATGGATACTGACTTAGGTCACCTTCTTATGGGTAACTATGGATACTGACTTAATTCACCCCCCTTATGAGTTACTATGGATACTGACTTAGGTCACACCCTTATGAGTAACTATGGATACTGACTTAGGTCACCTTCTTATGAGTAACGATGGATACTGACTTAATTCACCCCCCTTATGAGTTACTATGGATACTGACTTAGGTCACACCCTTATGAGTAACTATGGATACTGACTTA